GTTTGGTTTTCATAAAAACCTATAGCTAGGTTAGTTGGCAGGATACAGCTTCTAAGTATAAATTATTTTTTAAGCCCACACCCATATATCCCTGATACTCCATTTCTTTTCATCTCTCTCATATCAAGTTTTTCTCACTTTCACTGTGAAATCTGGGACTTTTCACCTTATGGAGTGTTATACAATGGTATGAAGGAGAATGATGAAAGATGAAATTGTACTCAGAATTATATAATAATTTTATCTATCTTAAGCAGGAAAACTATCCTTATTTTGTTGTGGCATGGTTGATGAAACCACATCCAATCCCTGGTGACACTCAAGAACACCCACTATGCTAAATTACACTGCATCCTTATATCTAAGCTACATGTGAAATGGGAAATTAAATTCATTATTTCAACCTAAATAAGTCTCCACGGCCAATATCTGTCAGCAGGATATTTTGAAGTTATCTTTATTTAAACAGACCTGAATGCTATTGTTAATCCTGAGTAGATCCATTGAATCAATAAAATTTAGCTACATATTGACTCACAATACAAGTTCTTCAGTGGGTTTACTCTATTTCATGTTAATCAATAGGATTTAGGTGCATAGAAGATCCATTCATCTACTATGTGCTGTAATTATTTCTAAATGGACACAAGGGTTCTGACTTGTGTACTGATTTCATTTACACTATATCCTGTCTTTATCCTTGCCTTTCCATGTTATCTTTTAAAAACCATCTCATTCAGATAAGAGCAATGCACAAAACCCTTGCAAGATCCAAATATAGGTCAGACACATGTAAGAATTCATTAGGGTATTGATCTAAAAATGAAAAGACTGTAATCAGAGTCTTCAGTGAAGTACTTTCTTCAGATATTTAAAACTTGAAATAAATATGCATTTTCAACCAGTGTTCAAGGAAGTTTGACAGCAAACTGTATGTCAGCTGTTTTAAACTATCACTGAAATGAAGGGTGGCTGCCCGAGATATTTATAGCTACAGCTAATGGTTACTAAGAAGTGGCAGAACCATTTAACTACATTCATGTTCTGTCTGGAATAATTTTTTAAAAATGACCAACAGAACACTTATTACTTCTTAAAGTCAAATTATGTGTCTTGACACTGTATTTTATTTTATTTTTTTCTCAGCCCCCACAAACTATGTGATTCATTATGTTTTCCAAGAATGTAAAGAGTGGGTGAGAAAATGTAGCATTTTAAAAAAATGCACTCCAATGTGGAAAATAACATTAAATACAATTTACTTAAAGGAATATCATTATTTTTATTTTTAAAATCCATTGATTTTCTTTCACCAAATGATAATTCCAGGTACAGGAAGATTTCTGGAGCAGATAATTAAACAGACAATGGCTGTGCACCTAATAAGGAATGCCGTGATCACTAAAAGTCAACAATGATACCATGGTGACAATGCTGTGGTCATCTATGCTATCCTCAGATACATGGCAGGCATGAGTTCCATTCCTAAAAGTGGAGATGTGATCTCCAGATTGTATGTTGTATAATAAATATTATTATTTATATTATTATTATTATTATTACTTATCAGTTACTACACAAATATAGCACTATGCTTCCACTTTAAATAAATGGGATTTTGGATTTGCAATTAGGAAGGGGAATTTAGAAATCCCAGCCAGAGAGTTCCTCCAGTGCATCTTACCAAACTATAAATCCTAGGATTCCATAGGATGGCTGATAAAGTCACTACCTCTGAGGATGCTTGCTATAGATGCAGGTGAAACGTCAGGAGAGAATGCCTCTAGAACATGGCCATATAGCCCGAAAAAACCTAAAACAACCCAATTGTGTTATAATTGTGTACTATGAAAAGCCTGCTGCTCTGATTGCATTTGATCCCCACCTTCGCAGTGGTTTAAACTAGCAAAGAACAAAAAATAGCACAACTGGAATTTTTCTCTAAAACACCAAACAATTCCCAGCTCATTCAAGTTAACGCTTTGAAGTCCTTGCAGTGCACATTCTTTTCAAGATGTTATATATATGCTTTGTTTTGATTCATTTTTATGGATTCAAGGAAAACCATGTGGAAGGATACCTAGGAAAAACAAAACTTCTTAGTATCTGAAATGTTGCAGAGGGCTTGTAAAGGAGTAGACAGAAGAGGCTTTACTATTGTGCCAAATTTGTCTGACCTCATTACGGGAAAGAGCTTCTTTTTCAACAGAGTTAACTTTGCCTTGATCTTTTGTGGCTGATTGCTGATTATGGTGCAGACAAGCACTCTGTTGAAAACCACGTCAAAGTCAGATAAATTTTGTGATAAGAACAAAATCAATGTTTAACAAGGTCATTTGCTAATGTATATCTAGAGCTGCAGGATACAATCCAAAAGCAAACTGCAAATGCCTCCTTTTGCTGCTTAAGATTATTTCAGCCCCATATTTGTATATAAATCTTTCTAGTGCCTTTGCACATCTCACAACAGGCAGGACCCAATAGTGCGTCTTTGTTGGCAAGAATTGGCAAAAGAAGTCAGGAGTGGTTGCTTCTCTTGACTGCATTCCCAATGGACCCCCAAAACTGGCTCTAAAGGGCTGGATTGGTGTCAGTTTTCAGGCTATACAAAGGGATGCAATGAGGAGAGGAAACACCTCAAGTGTTCTGACCGTGGAATGTCAGATGTAGCTCACTAGTGTATAAGAAACAAAGCACTAAATTGAAGCATGATAAATAAAGCATGTTAAAGTATTTCTCTCTGAGCTTTATCACACCAGCCTATTGCCACATCACAATCATGTTGTTTAAGCCAATGGAAAGTATACTGTTACTGCAACAGTATACCTTTATTGCAAAAAGTATACTTTTTTCACATCTTGGTCTAACTGTGCAATGCTGCCATTTGTTGATGTGAATTCCAGCAAACAGTCTTTGGCATAATCTTGCCTGCTATCTGTGCTTGCCCTACCTAGCACACGTGCACTGTGTTTTTTCTTTTCTCCTCAAATTTTATTGCAACTGCTTAGTCACACTGTTTCAGTATTCTCACAAGACCTTCATCTGCTTCTTAATACTGGGACTTACAATTGATGGGTTTTTTTTCCTGTCAATGAAAATCAGTGACCAGATCATGATTCAAGTTCAATGTGACTATGAGACAACCAAAACATTGAGGGGTATACCCCATCAACAAGGGTCTTTTAGTCTCCCTTAATTACATTTTAGCAGCCTTGTAGAATAAAGTTCTCTAGCCCTCCATCAAAATACATGTATGCTGCTGGAGCTTTCTGCTGCCTTCTTGGGGCTCTCTTTACTCTGGGACTGCCACTTAAAACAGGGAGTGGCATAGTAATGCATTGTTATTTCCTGCAAATATTGATGCATAAAACACAACATGGAAACAAAACAAAATCCTTGTCATGAGTGAATTCTTCTACCTTATGCAGTGCATAATCTACCATCACCCCATTTGGTGTATTTTCCATATAAGTGTATAAATACAAGGTCATGTGTTTGTGCAAGAGAAGACATGAAGAATGATCCTAGTAATACTGTGCATACATTGCTTTTTGTATTGTTATTCTAGATTATTTATTGTACATCTAGCCAGATACCCAGTAATAATAAGAAATGCCCTGCCCAAATCCTTAGAGTATAAAAGACACGACACACAAATGAAAACAGAATTTAAAGCTTATAAGGAGGTTGTTTTTACCCTTGTGTAGATGATGCTTAACAAAATCTAAACATGTATTTTTTTAAAAAAACCTCACATATATAATCAGCCCTGAACGGTATTCTCAGAAGCTGCAGCATATGAAAATGTAACAGGGGAGATAAAAAGCTTATAGCACACAGTAGTTTTCCTCTGTGCCAGAGGCAAAGTGAAAATGAATGTTCATTATGGATCCTATAATGCACAATCGTAAACTCCAGTGCTCCTGGATAATGACGATATACACTTGAATCCAAGAGTAATGATGAGCCTTTTTACAACATATTGTGCTAAATATTTATTGGCCTGCCATAAATTGGAACAGAATTCTTTCAATTTCAAATGCGATGTGCACATATACCATACATTGCTTTTCAAGAGGACAGATACTATACAAAAGAACACTTACATTACAATAGATTATGATTTTCAGATGGCTGTTGCTTAGCAAAGTTGGAATTTGCCAGGTGTTTTTCTGTTAGTGATGGAAAGAAGGGTTTAGGGTCAAATGAGACAGAAGAGAGATCCTTTCACTTACTACTTTAAGTAAAAAAAATCAAGGAAATGGATTCTAGTGATTATATCTGCAGACAGTATGTTGTTTAGCAGAGTGCTAACTTGAACCTTTTGAAACTGGTGGTGCATACATCTGTGGTCCATTCCTTCCTTCAGATCCATTGTGGGACATGTAGTCCCTAAAAGTAACTGTTCTGAGCTTTATCCAGCAGAATCATATTTTCCTTGTTCTTTCTCCCCTCACTTTTCTGGCTTGTTTTCCTTGTACTCAGAACATGAACACATGAAGGCCTCACTGGATCATTGAAGAAACTGAGCAGAGTTGCTGGTCCCCTAAGTGCATTTTAATGCAGGAGGTACATCAAAGATTGCAAGATTTTAACATGCCCAGTTAGACACTTTAGTTTGCATGAATTAAGGTCATGTTCTTCAAGGCAACTGGTTTCATTGCCAATGTGTTGAGTTGAATGGAACTGCCCATTGCCCATCATCAGGAATTAAAGGTTTTGGCAGGGCAAAATTCTATGTTTCATGACCTGCTGTTCTAGTGAGATTTTCTCCTTTGTCCCATGTAACTGCTCTACAGGCTCCCATGACCTTCAGAAGCAGAAGACGTGATCATTCCTTTCTATTCTGCTAAAGGAAACACCTCTATTAATGGGATGAATTATTTGGATATTTTGATTTTAAATAGGCCTGATTTCAGGTTATTGCTTAGTACTTGTCGAGGGCAGCATCTGTAAAAAGTATTTAGTTGTTCTTCCTTGTTATTTCCCTCCTCAGAACTCCATCCACTGCAGCAAACCTTACTTTGGATCCAGGTTTCAGTAGCTCTACTGCAGTCTGAATCCAGCTCTTCACCATTTTGCTAACATTAAGATAGGAAGGTATGTGTTCACTTTAATGTATTTTAAAATAATTCTTTGTACTTTTACAGCAGTTGTACAAAAAAAGGAGTCCTTCGTAGTGGCTTTTATTTTTTTTCTTGTTAAAAAATAAGGAATGGTTAAAAAATGTGATGCTTTTTTAGTTTTGGAAGAAGATGAATAAGAGAGCACATGAAAAGAGATTTATCAAATTATGGGTAGAGTGGAGAACAGTAGATAGTGACAATTCCTTTCTCTTTCATAATGCAGCAATTCAGGGACATGTGGCGACATTGATTGACAATAGATGCTGGACGAACAAAAGAATGTACTTCTCCATACAGTTAATGTGCTGCCACAAAATGACTTAATAAAGACTAGACAAATTCATGGGAAAGGAATCTACAGACAGCAATTAGACAGGACAGCTGAATGAAATGTCCCAGGGGGAGTAACCTTCCTAATACTAAACAATTGGGACAAGAGCCAGGAGAAAACTTTCTGTCTTCATAACCATTTAAGATGTAGGCTGAGTATGCCATGGTTGGACCCAATGCTGAATTTCTTTTAGACATTTTTTTTGTCATGTCAGGAGTGACTCGAGAAACTGTGAGTCGCTTCTGGTGTGAAATAATTGGCCGTTTGCAAGGACGTTGCCCAGGGGAAACCTGGATATTTTGATGTTTTATCATCCTTGTGGGAGGCTTCTCTCATGTCCCTGCATGAGGAGCTGGAGTTGATAGAAGGAGCTCATCTGTGCTCTCCCCAGATTTGAACCTGTGACCTGTCTTCAGTCCTGCCAGCAGTCTTCAGTCCTGCCAGCACAAGGGATTAACCCACTGCGCCATTCTTGATATAATGGTTATGCTTTGGGAGGGTTTATGATAGACAACCTGGGGGAATGTCTTTAGCTTCATTTGTTATCCAGGAGGGTCATGTGTTACTGTCCACTGACTCAATCTAGTTACTTCCTTCCCTTCCCAAAAGGCCTTTAAGAGCATTCATTTCTCTAAACCAGGGGTTCTCAAACTTTTTCAGCCGCTGAGCCTTTTTGATGTAAAGGTTTCTCGTGGAGCCGCAATAAATGTTTATATATTATAGATTATAATATTATATATGATGTATATATAACCAGGCATGAGCAAATATTTCGATGCATTGTGTTTTAAAATTTTACAGATGGGCTAGGCTGGTGGCAGACGGATGGAGAATGAACTAAATCAGTGGTTCTCAACCTGGGGTCCCCTGATGTTTTTGGCCTACAATTCCCAGAAATCCCAGCCAGTTTACCAGCTGTTAGGATTTCTGGGAGTTGAAGGCCAAAAACATCTGGGGACCCCAGGTTGAGAACCACTGAACTAAATGAAAAAAAATGAACAAATTCCTATGTACACTGCACATATCTTGTTTGTAGTGCAAATATCTCATTTGTATGCAACATAAAGTTAATGGTATATCAGTGGATAACAGCAACAACAAGAACAACAACAACAACAAGAACAACAACAACAGGAGCAACAACAGGAGCAACCCCAGGGGACAGCCAGTCCAACCCTGCCCAACTCCTGAGTGGTGGGAGGGAAATAGGGGTTTGCTTTCACTTCATGGTATATGCAAAGGTAATGACAACAATCAAGAAAAATCCTCTTAACCATAGTTGTTTGATTAAAAAAAAATCCTTCAGTGCATCTGTGTGGCTTTATCTCCAGCTCAGATCCCACCTTCTGCAGATTGGAATCACGTGACAGGCAGCATGTACTTCTAGAGATGGTGACATACAGTCACTCAGTGCATCTGTGCTGTAGAATGAATGTAATTTGGCACCACTTTAATTGCCATTAATCAATGTGATGGAACCATGAGAATTGTAGTTTTAGGCTGTTTTCTTTGCCAAAGAGTGCTGGTGTCTCACCAAACTACAAATTCAGGATTCCATAGCATTGAGTCATGGCAGGTAAAGTGGACTCAAACTGCACTACTTGCTGGAGGCCCTACCTTTTAGTTGGATAATAGTAGCTCAAAGCAAAGAGCTCATGCGAAGTTCTCAATGATCTGGTAAATCAAAATCTAGGGGACGTGTTCAGAACATATACTCTGAATTCAGTTTCAGTTTCTGAGTTTTCAGCAAAGAGGAGAGAACCATTTTCTGTTCCCCAACCCTTTTCAGAACAGAACCAAATAAGCCTGCTCATCTCTGGGTAGCAGAGGGTCCTCTGGGAGAGGATTTATTAAACTATGATTTGCTGCAGCCTCTTTGTGCCTAATACATTTTTTCTGGAGTGTTGTACCAACCCAGGATTATGGAACCTCCTATCTTACTTCTGAGGGCACTTCACACAATACAGTACAGTAGAAGTCCTCATGCCTTTAAAATGTAACATATATTTCAGACATTTTGTGGATTAATTTAGATCAGCATGACTCCTCCAGTACAGAGTCTGTAATGAAGGAGATGTAGAATGACTGTAGACAAACACAGAAAAAGGCCGTACCAGGTATCAATAACAAGCCTTGGCTCCCATTTTCCATTAAAAGGGCAGTTTTCCAACTATACAAATGCTTTCTCTGATATCTCTCGTATTTATAAAGACCAAATACAGGCTGCAATCCAATATCCTCGAAGCATAGCGTAAATATCCACTCATGGTGTCAGCCACTTTAAGTCTCAGGTGGTATATAAAGGGATGGATGGATGGATGGATGGATGGATGGATAGATAGATAGATAGATAGATAGATAGATAGATAGATAGATAGATAGAGAGATGATGATCTAAAATTAATCTAGTGTCTAGAACACATAGCACATTTTAATCTGCAAGTTCATATTTTGCATTGTGTTTCGTGAAGTTTATATTGTCTTTTCCCCAACCATGCCAATGTATTCCAAAACCCATCCCCATGAGCTGTATTTTAAAATGTTAAAAGAATGAAAGTCTCTGCTTGCATAAAATCAGCTCTTCTGTAGTCATGTGTATTATTCATTATAGAGGATTACAAAAGAAACAGGGATGTGGATAATCCCAGAATAAGTCTGAGAAAGTCCTAGCCAAAGTGGGGCAACCACCATGGAGCAAGCCTCGCAGGGATGGGAATATCACAGCAGAAAAGCTGAACATATTTACCATGTGATAGCTGGCAGAGAGTCAAGGCAGAGCAAGGCTAGATAGTAATTTAATGAATGGCTCTCAGAAAGGTGACAGTGGAGGCATAACCTGAGTGAAATTAACATAGAATAGCTTTCCCCCACATTTTCTCAATCTGTGGAAATGCCAATTTTGCCTAATTAAAGTTAACTTCAGGTTTTTTCTGTGCTTTTCACGCACACATACCATGGCAGAATCAGTGTGCAGGATTTAATTCTAACCCCTTTGGCAAAATGGTTCAGATCTGTCGCTAAGGATTTATAGCCTGAACTAAACTGTGATACTACTTACTAGAGGCAATGTAGTTTCTGAAATGCACATTAAGCAGAACAACTTGAACTTCTCCTGCCTGATTCATACTCAGAAATGTAAAATGTGCGGAAGTGAAACAGCCAGATATTACCCACATGCCTACACCTTAATATGTTTTACTTGGGAAACAGATTATGCTTATGCAGTTACCAGAGTATTGTGTAAAAGCCAGTGTTGTGTAGTAGTTTGAGTACTCAAATAGGACTGAAAGTCATGGTCTTGAGTGTTGGACTAGGACTCTAGGAGACCAGGGTTTGACCCCCTATAAAAGATAGGGCTTTATTTGGAAAATAATAAAAATCCCAATGCTGTTCCACCAAATTAAAGAATTTATTTGATAATAAAAATCCCAAAAGCAGAACACGTTAGATTGGAATGAGGCTTCTGTAATTAAAAGCCCCAAAACATAAGCTGCAAGGAAAGCTAGAACTTTTTTCTGGCCGAAAACCCTTTTTGAAAGCCCACTGGCCGCCACCAATTTAAAAGCACTGATAAACCCTTGGCTTACTTGAGGTGCCCCCCCCCCAACTCTGCCATGGAAATGCAGTGGGTGACCATGGACCAGTTACATTCTTTCTGCCTCAGAGGAAGGCAATGGCAAACCCCCTTTGATCAAACCTTGCCAAGAACATACAATGGTAGGTTACATACCTGTGACCATCTTTCTTCGAGTGGTGCTCTGCGAATTCACACTTGTGGAGAGACTGCGCCTGCGCGGGCTCCAACGGAAACTTCTACATTTTAAAACTTTTCAAGTTTTGGCGGTAACCCCGCCCAGCCCCGGCAGGGGATAAAAGGGCGCCCCGCATGCTCCCCAGTTCCTACGCTGCAAGGAAGCGAGAAAGGAGGAGGTTTGTAAGAGGGGAGGCTGGGCGGGTTTGTGTGAATTCACAGAGCACCACTCAAAGAAAGGTGGTCACAGGTATGTAACCTACCATTTTTCTTCGTGGTCTCTGTGAATGCACGCATGTGGAGACTAGCAAGCTAAGGTCCCAGAGGCGGGAAAGACAAACCAACTCTCTTTTGAAGAACCAAGGGCCAAACAATTTTATTAAGTGCAAACAGTTACCAACAAAGGATTGTAATCACTTCCGAAGAAGGGCACAGTACATGAATTTTATGGGAGTTCGTGATCCTCCCAGTCACGTGAGAGTGACCAATCTACAGTGAAAGACACTCAATAAATGAGGGCATTCTTAAACAATTAGCATAAACTTGTGACCCTTGGAAACAAGAACACAGTCATTGTAAGGACACTCATTGCAATGAGGGCACATTAAGTAGTTACACAAAAACAGTATTATCAGCAAGTGCAAAACACATTTGTAAGGAACAAGGTGTCGATAGTGACACAAAGTACTACCCGTAACGAGCCCATTAGGCCATAGTGCAAAGTTGCCTGCGCCTCAGGCAGTAAAGGCATCAAGTGTAAAGGTGCAATTACATTCACCAACACCGGTAAACAGTTGAATTCAAGTAACAACATGGTAATATCATTCACAACAATATACGGTACCGAAGAAGCTCTCGGTACCAATAAGATACACAAAACTTTGTAAAGCTC